GTGTAGGGTTCTATCGTAGCTCCTTGTTCTCTGAAGGCGAGAGGAGGAAGCCCCTTCATTTTTTTTTTCCTCACGCGGGCGGTGTTCTGGTGGAGCAGCGGCCCACACGCGATTGGGGAATGGGAGAAGAGCTGGGGGCGTATTAGTTTCGATCCCTCCCGCAGCGGCACGACTACGGTATTGATCTTGGTATGATAGTCAAAACAGGAGCTACGCCCTACTGGTGGCCCTCGGTGATATCGAACCTGATCTCGCCCGCGGGAGAGGGGGGGGGGGGGGGGCTTACATGGTTTTGTTGGCCGAGTCTTCGATGGTTTCCATGCCAGCTGGTGTCCCAGCGGCCTTGTTTCTGGCGTTCGAGGTATTGCGGGACTGGATGGGAAGTTAGCACACACAGGATATGTGGTAACCAGGGAGCAACTGTACGGTGGCGCTCAAACGCGAGGTAAGTGCTGATAATCCATTCCGATATCTGCGGTCTGTGGATAATATCAGTAGTCAATCCATCATTCACGTTGCTCCCCCCCCTCCCCTAACCAACTCACCCATGCACGCCATTAGCGGTGCAAAACGCCGCCTTGGTGTCCTTGAACATGGGCTTCTCAAGCACATGGTTCACCCCCGCGCTCAACAGCTGCACGTATTGCAGCTTTGGAGCCTCTTCTGGAGTCGGCAGGGTACTGAAAGTCATCAAAATGGTCACATCATCCCATGTTCCGGGCGGGAGGGTGACCAGTGGGAGCGGCGTCGAGGTCCAACGCTGCAGATGGTACACGACCTGCAAATCGGGGAATGCGGCGGCCAACTTCTCGACGAACCCAGCCGGGGCAGGCCAGGGGGAGATGACGAGGAGCTTGTGCCCTTGGAGGGTTCTGTTGCTCTCCGTCTTGACCAACATGGTTGTCTCTCGTGGCTGATTTTGTCTTTGTTTGTGTGCAATGCAGGGCGCTGACACGGTGAGTGACACCGAGGCGGGAGCCTCGGGCTTTTGTACCACGGATTCCACTCCGTCGTAGCATTGCGGAGTAACAATTTCAGGGGGTGAGGTGGAGAGGAGGCGACGCGATGCTGCGGGGTCTTGACACGAGAGCGTAAGCTGCAAACGAACAAGGAAAGGGAAGGATTCTGATCGCATTTATGTCGGTCAAGGGACGCTAACTGCTGCGCTGCCTATTCGGTGTCAACAAGGGAATATTTCCTCAAACGCTATCTCTCAATATCTCTCATATTGTCCTGTCCTTCTTCATGTTTGATGTGATGTCCCACTACTTGGTTTCAGCTCGCCGTTCCCAGAGTTTGGGACTAGGTTCGACTTGTGAAGCCTGACTTGAACGCCACTGCCACTCCTGTTCTCGATGGTGTGGTGAAATCGTATGGGCGCGTCCGGTGGCGACTCGGCATTCTCAACGCAGTCGTATCGCTGCATTATTCGGATGATGATATAGGCCGCCTTGATCCGTGCCAGTTGCTCTGTGATTTGGTCAGCGATTAAAACATTCCCTTTTGCTAGAAGTGGCTTTGCTTACGTCCCAGGCACTGCCGAACTCCTCCCCCAAAAGGCACAAACTCGAAGCCAAACTTGCGTTTTCCGTTCTCTCTCCATCTATCCGGTCTAAACTGGTCCGCATCAAAATCCCATAGATCCGGCCGCTGACCTAGGGCGTAGGTCGGGATTAAGATCTGAGTCCCTTTGGGGACAAATATGGGATGATCCCCAGTGTCGCCGCCCCCACGTGGGAGGACTGTGTCGCGGAGCGAGATACGGTCGTTCAGAGGCACAACGGGCGCCATACGGAGGGTCTCGTTTATCACCGCGGTCATGTACGGTAAGGAATCACGAACGTCCCTGAACTCGATACCGCTCGGCTGCCCCGGCCAGTATGGGCCGAAATTGGAATGCACCTCATGGCGGAGCGCTGTCCAGACGTCGGGATGGCGTGCTAGGAAATAAATGATCCAGCCGAGAAGTGCAGCAGTGGTATCCCGGCCAGCGCTGAGGACATTCAGAGTTTGGCTGCGCAACTCTACCGGATCCGACGTCAGCTTGGCGAGCTCGTGGAGGAGGACGTAGCGATCGGTGGCGCCCTGGTGCTGTAACCCTGCCAGGTACTTGTCTCCCTGCGCGAGACGAAGTTGTACAAACCACTCGGCGTACTTGTGGATGGCTGCGCAGTGTTTATTGAACTGTTTGACTGGCAACAACCAACGGTACTTCCACAACGCGCCGCGCGTCTCGATCCAGGCTTTCCCGTCGTCCATGTGCCTCCCGATAGTCTCGCGGTCTGGAGGCGCATACCCGGGAAGTTCTGGAAGCTCCATGCGTTCCGAGGGGTTCTGGGAGTGGGCCGAGTAACCGTAGAGCATCTCCGACATGACGTCGAGAGTTAGGTGGTAGAACAGCGGCTGCAAATCGAAAGCATGTGTCCACCCATCAGCGCTGGAATCGTCGTGGTGCCGGTCGATGGCGGCAAAGAGCGCCTGGACATGGCGCTCGTACAAATCCAAGTCGTTGATCTGGTCCAGGGCAAACTGCGGCCGAACAAGGGCACGAGAGTGCTTCTAGTCGTCGCCGCGCGATGTGAAAATCCCTTGGCCAAGCATTGGTTTCCAGCTGGCAGTGCGGTGTTCGCTGACGTCCCAGTCAGCGGCCCTTTCAGCAAGGACGGTTTGGATATTCTCAGGGTCCCGAGATACAACAAGGTTGTATCCACACATGGGCACAAGGACGGTGTGCACGTCCTTCCCCATCTCACCGTCGATGGACTCGATCACATGCTGAGGCCCTCTATCGTTGCGGTTTGCTCTGAGACCCTCAAGCAACCGGCCAAACCCTAGGAAGCCTTTCTTGCGCATCCTCGGAGCCGGGCGACATCCTAGATGGCCTAACGCTTCTTCCTTGAGGCGCCTCGGCGAGGTTGGATAGCGGTAGAAGCGGAGAAATATCCAAATGGACAGCCAGGTTACTGCGAAGATGGCCAAGAACATCGTTCCGACGGCGGTGCCACAAGTGCTATTGGTGCGTAGAGAGGCACACAAAGGAAGGGAACCTGACAGTTCTTTGGTCGGTAGTTAGCGCATGTATGCACGTCTTCGCCTGGCTTCAACTTGGCCCTCACTGAACAGACAGAATAGAAACAAAACCTACTTGAGGTAACTTGGAGGGAATAACCGCGCCGGGGGTAATTATTTCGTCGGAGAATGTATTGAGCGGCGGCGCATCGCAGGTCCCTGATGGCGGCTTGATCGACTGAAGTAAGCTGGGAAACAACCTCAACGGTCAACCCCGGGCAAGACCTCCGTTTTCGTGGGTGAAGGAGGTGCCTGGAATTAGTTCTAGCTGGGCGTCGCTTGCCTTCTGTTGGCTATTGGTAGGTTGGTAGGTTGGAGGGAATGAGTGCTTCCTGCGCTGTCAGGCGTTCGGGGAAGGAGTTGTTAAAAGGGAAAAAAAAAACACCCATTGAGTTCTGGATTCAGAAGGGGAATCGTACTTGCCTTACCATCACCGTACCTACCGTAACACTAAGTAAGAGCTTCCATGAGGAAAGGCCTACCCTTAGCCACATGCGTGTTCGTTAATCCCCCTCTTCTCTCCCTTCGACAAGCATCAACCGAACGTCCAAATTCTTCATTTGTCCTTGATATTTACCTATTCTACTTGTTCCATATTTATCCCTCTTTCAAAATGTCACCAGCGAATAGCCATTACGCCCTTCTCATTTGGCTCATAGCGCTCTTTTCACTCGTCGACCCAGCGTTCTTACCCCTCAGGGTTCCCTCGAACTACTCTGGTGAAGCCCAGAAGTTGGCAGACCCGGAATACGGCCCCATTCCAGGCCAGTCGGACCTCTACAGCAGCTACTGGGGTACCGAGAGACCTTTCCCTGGCAACATCAGGGATCCTATCTTCCCAACGGAGGATGGCCCACCCGGTGAAGACGACTTCGTGTGGCAAAACCTCCTGGCAGCCGAATGGATTATCTTCGACTTTTATCAGCAAGGCATCGAGCGCTTCACTGACGACGACTTCAAGAGAATAGGCATGCCCAACAACACGCGCCGTCGTCTGCTGGAGATTCGCAACAACGAGGCTGGCCATCTCCGCATCTTCCAAAACCAAATATCGCCGACATCGATTAAGCCAGGGCCCTGCGAGTACATCTTTCCGCTCACGGACCCCTTGTCCTATCTCACTTTCATGACCGTGATCGAGATATCAAGCATGGCATTCCTGACTGGACTCGTTCAAATGGCCGACAACGAGTGGAATCAGGGCTTGATTGCGGGCATCTCACAGACCGAAGCTCGGCATGAGGCTTGGATTCTGATCGATATCTGGAAGACGAACCCTTTTGCTGGGCCAGCGGAAACCGTATTTCCGTACGCCAACCAGATCCTCTACAGCACCCATGGTCTCGTGGTCCCGGGCAGTTGCCCGCCAGAAAACCCCGAGTATCCTTATCCCCTCCAGCGTCTGCCCGCCCTGTTCGCGACCCCCGACACAAAGAGCCTTGCGCCCGGCGCAACCATCACCCTGGCCTTCACCGACGAGGACAACCAGCCCGTGTTTGACCCCGACACTCAGTACTATGCCGTCTTTACCCACAGCGTCAACAACATCAGCGTCCCCATCGATACCGAGGGCTTTCCAGAGCGCCCGATCACGGTCACCATCCCGGCCGCCTTTGAAACCAACGGCGTCATTGTTGCTCTAATTGCAGATCAACTTGGCGCACCCGTCATGGAGTCTGTCGTGGCCGGACCTGCGGTCATCTTGGAACAGCCGGTGGAGTTGGGGCCTGCCCTGGTGCGGGGAGCGGCAAACTGAGGTGATTTGGGAGACCGCTGCCCGAGCTAGCGTGGTTTTCGGCATATACGACTGTGTTTCGCTTTTGGTTTTGAGCACTGGCTGGGTCTTTGGGATCGTTGTGGTGTAATTGTGAAGGACATTGTCGTGTCGGTGGCGAGGAGGCACGTTGTTTGCTTGGGGGGGGGTTTGGAAAACAACCCGGCGGGATCCCGGGTCGACAAAGCGATTGTTTCTCAGCGTACAGCAACTGGCGCACTTACTGTAAGGTTGCGAAAATCGTAATAATAATAGTAATACAATGGTAGAATACTCGTGTTTGTTTAAGAAGTCCAAGATGTCTTGTCTCATAAAACTGGCTCCGTCCCCCGCCGCGCTTGAACCCCCTTCCCACATCTCAAACTTCCCACAGCCTATTTCAAATCCGGTCTTGATCAAATAATTGTCGTCATGTCTTCTCCTAAGGAGCATCCGCTCGCATGCCCCGAAGTCATCCGCTGGCTTGTTGACTCGCAATGCATTTCTGAAGAGGATTTGCTCGAGCTTGCCAGGACGAACAAGGCCATCTCCAAACTGGTCTTGCAGGAATCCATGCGCAACAAGATTAAGAACATTCCCTTCAAAGACCCAGACAACCCAATCCATCAAGCCATCATGGTCGACCGCCCCAACCTTCTCCAGGAGGCTCTCGACCTAGGCGAGTTTGAGCCCCGCGAACAAGCCATGACCTCCCCAAACGGCCGTCGCCTGATGGACGAGACCGCCCACGACCTCTTCGAACGACCGCTCACGGCTGTTCAAAACCGCGCGCCAAGTCGCCATCGACAAGCGCCAAGTCCAATATCTCATCTACCTGCACCACAACGACGACAACAACAACCCCAGCCACAACACCCCGTGATCTCGGTGCTCAGGCCTTTTTAAGCTTAACTACACGGAACTAGATTCAAGCTAATTGAAATACTCCATTTATTACCAAGTTACCACTGCTGATGCCTTCCCAGGGATCAATGACAGGTTGTAGCAACCTATGTTTGGTAGAACATCAATACCGTCGAACACGGTTGAGTTTTCATGAATGAGATCAGCTGGTTGCTGTTGATGACGATCAATACTTGTGATTATAGCCAGACATACTACAAACAAGTCATGCGGATGTAACAAGTCCATTATTATTATCCTGTCCATGCCATTGTGTCTTCTGGATTTCATTAAATCAATGATTGCATAGATCTCCGCTTGTGGTTGGCTGTCTCATTACTGGTGTAGTCACATTCCACGAATAACGACGGCATTCTCTTCCGGAATCCCTGCCCATTCCAGCAGCTTGCGCTGTGCCGAGACAAACGCCTCGATAAACTCTTTGCTTCCCGGCACAGGCGGGCCCTTTTGCGCAGCCATGACACTCGTCATGTGCGAAATCCCCTTGGCATACTCCGCCTCCGCGCCGAACACACCACTCGCCTGATCGGCAGCCGCAATAAAATACCCGAGCGTCACGTTGTGGATGTCAGTGGACGGGGGGAATTTCTTGTCCATGAACGCGGACGACTCCGGCGGCAGGCTCGCTGCGACAATAAGGATCGTGATAACGTCCATCATGTCGTTGACCCACTCACGTCCTCCTCTCCGGCTATTAAGGAGTTGTGCCTTGAGAGCGTTGCGCAGGGCGGGAACGGGCTGGCCTTTTTCGAGATACAACATGGCCAGCGAAAGGCGAGCAGAGGGTAGTGGTTCCATATGTTCGGGCCAGTTCTTGCCGGGGGGGAATGCGTTTACGGTAATCGTGCGTAGCCTCGTTTCGACAGCCGCAGGGTCTTCATAATCGGGGAAAACGCCGGTGTATTTGGCGGCTTTGACGGCGGCACTGATGAGCTGGACGATGTCCTGCTGGTATTGTGGGAGGGTCGACAGCTTTTCGGTCCCTTGGAGTAAGGATAAACACTCTCTGCGCTCGACTTTGCAGCGGTTGCCTGTTCAACTCCGGTTAGCGACTTATGAGGGGAAAATAGGCGTGACGCGACGACTTACAGGAGCAGTCGAAGAAGTACTCGCGCTGGAGGAAAGCCTTGCGGGCGGTTAAGGTGAGAGCCGGATCCACATAGCAGATGGTGATTTCTTCCCCGGCAGGCAATCGGCTTAATCGAACGAACACGAAGCTGGTTTTTTTCGAAATAGACAAACGCGTTTGGGTCGCAGGAGTGGTTGATCATGGCTGTGGCCACATCAAACGCGTATCCGACGGAGCTTCTTCGACGATGCAGTAACGATCGGTACGCAGTTGATACGCATCTGCTTCCCAGTCAGACTTAATCACCGCATGTGATTCAAGATCAAACGTACCGTTGGGAGGAGCCGCCACGGCACCACCATCTGTACTTTTTTTCCAGCCGCCTCACAAACTGCCGACGCAATATCGTACATGACTTGAGAACGCTCGGGATCCTTGCTGTATTCGTGGAAGTGGTTCTCGAGGCACGAAACACTGCGCATCAATACAGGCGGGAGGAAGCTGCGTGGTTGGTAAAACACCAGGCGGTGGGTGAATAGCGTTTGGGCGGTCATAGTTGGCGTCTTTTGAAGTATTTTGCATTCGTCTTTTGTGGTACATAGACCAGGCCCAACTTTTGGCATTCCTGGTAATCCCCATGGTTGGCTTTTGTTTCCGAGAGTCTAGGGGCGGGTCGAAACGTACCTTTGAGCAATACCTGGCAACTTTGCATCTCGAGCAGGCTTTTGTTTCTTCGTCGGCTTTGGAAGGACCACCTAGAACCTCCTGCGTATCCTTCAGGCAATAAGAGCAAAAAGAAAGGTTGTCGGCAGTAATATTATCCATGGTGGGGATGACGTGGTAAATCTCGCAACCCACGGGAATTGCGGCGTCGGTAAACAGGCCGGAGCCCTTGCAAATGGTAGACGATCGAATTTCGAGCGGAAAACTCGACACGAGGCGCTTGAGGTTCCATTTGCAGAGTCTCTCATCTTCGTGGATGCACTCTCGTCGCGATGGTTCGAAGTCATCTCCGATGTTATTGCTGGTGTTGATTGTCATCGCGGCGATTTCTTATGCGGTCCTCGATTAACTGAGCAGGTTGGTGGCAAAGATCGCGAACCCAGTCTTGTAGGTTTGTAGTATGGTGAAAACGCAAGTCGCTCGCTCGAAATTGAACTGCTGCCACAAATGTTAAACAAATTTTGGCCTGTGCTCAAAAGCATTGAAGAACTTGGAAGGGGGTCGAGAAGGGATGGAAGGAACGGTGGAGAGTTCCAGCCGTGTTTTGAGTCTGCTAACACTGAACAACATTTGGGAACTGGTTTCTTTCGAGGTGATTGAAGGACTAGGTGCTTATGCCTAATAATTCAACTAATTGACTAACTACCTATTTACTTGACTATTAACACAACAACAGACCGGCAGAATTTGTTGTTGACTGGCACAGAAATATAGTATAGAACCGCTATGAATCATCACACAAGTCAGCCATTTATTAAATACCCGCTCCCTAACCACTAAAATCAATCGTCGCCCATAGCATACTTGACCCAAAACGCCGCCACATCCCGCGGTGCCGCGGCGAGCCTAAACAGCTCCTCTTCCTCCACCGCACCACCATCCCCCCCATCGCCCTCCCTCGCAACAATGAGATCCAATTTCCTCGGCTCCGCCGCATTCGGCCTCATCCCCGCCAGACGACACTCCACCGCCCTCAAACTCCTCTCCCCAAAATCAATCATCAAAAAGCTGCTGCTCCCGCCACCGCAGTGAAGCAACCCCACCTCCCTCTCCCTCTCCCCTCCCTCCCCACCATAATAAGGAAATACACAAAACCCATCCCCACACGCCGCCAACCCCTCCCTCAACGCGCGCAACCCCCCGTCCGCCGCCACAGACCGATCCAAGTCCCGCAGCAGTCCCGCCAGCCGGGGGACTGGCGCAACCTGACCCTCAGCCCCATCAAGCTGTTGCAGCTGATGCCGCTGCTGCCACCACAGCGGCGCGGCCGTCGAGCCGGGAAGCACCTGGAAGGCGGCCGCCAGCGCGCGGCACAGCTCGGCGAGCATCATGCGTAATAGCGCGGTGCGTGTTGCCGTCGCGGGAACAGCAACAGAAGGGGACGCGGAGGCGGAAACGGGGGGTGGGCGGGAAAGGAGGGGAGGAGGAGCGGACATGGCCTGCAGGAAGGCCCAGCCGGCGCGGGGCGAGGTGGAGTAATCGGCTTTGGTTAGGGTGGTGAGGAGGGAGGTTAGGAGGTGGAATGTGAAGGGGTTGGGGGTGTCGTTGTCGTCGTGAACGTCGTCGTAGTCGGATTCGAGGTCGGGGTCTGGGTCGGGGAAGAGCAGGCAAAGGTGGGTGAATTGCTCTTCGAGGGAGATGCGGAGGTTGGGTTGCTGCGGGGAGTGTGTGGTCCACGGGTCGCTGAGGGTCCAGGATTGGGTTGCTGTTGGCTGCGTGATGGGGATGGAGGAAGCTTCTGGGGCGGCGCCGAGGTGGTTGAGGAAGCGTGTTAGGAGCGGATTGTCGCAGGGTGTGGGCTGGTCGATATCAAATAGCCTGCCAAGGACGTCTGCGGCGCCGGCCACGAGATGGGAGAGAGGTTGTATCAAATCCTGTGGCTGCTCGGGGGGCAAGGCGGGCGGAACTTGGGTAACTCCCGGCGGTGTGAGGTCCGGCGCTTCCTGCTTAATGTATGGAAGCGGAGAGCTTGCGTGAGGATCAAGGTCGTGATCCTGTGGGGCTGTCGGCAGGGCTGGGCCTGCTGAGGAGGAAAACTGCCCCAACGGCGCACGCGGCGACAGCGGTGTGACCGGTGTTGCAGCTAGCGACGCCATCTGAGCTTCCTTTGTGTGGATGAGGCCCTGCAGTCGCAAATTCTCGGCTCTGGCCGCTTCAGCCTCTGCCTCTCGCTGTTGAACCAAGCTTTGGAGTCCCAGGTTGTTAGACTTCAACCCTTCCACTTCCTCGTCCCTTTCCTTAACCAGGTTCTGCATCTTACGGTTCTCTGCCGAGGCCTTCTCGAAGCTCAAATCCCGTTTGCGAACGGTATCTTCTAACCAGAGGTTCTCGGCGCCCGTCCTCCTGCGCTCCTCCTGCAGCTCGCAGAGACTGGCTTCGAGCCGCGCGTGTTCCGCTTCGCGGTTCTCCTTAACGCTCTTCAGTCGGCGCAACTCCACCTCCGTCTCAGCCGCTGCCGATTTCAATTTGCGGACCTCCTCGCTTAGATCCTTCTTACCACAAGTAAGCTTGAAGTTGGTCGTTTTGCAATCATCCAACTCTTTGCGCAGCGACTCTTCCCGTGCTGCGGATTGGTCCAGCTCGCCCACCATGCGGTCCACCTCGTCGCCGATGGCGTAGTAGACATCGTTCAGGCGGTCCAACTGCTCCTGGATTCTCAGGACCGCGCGCGGGATGGGGTGCGTGGGTGAATAGCCGCTGTCAGTCGTGATAGACTTGATGTTCTGCACATGGGCAAAGATGCTCTGTGCGGTTGATATGAAGGTTCTCTCGAGATTTCCCAGCGAATTGGAGTCGGGCTCGTTGTCGGATCCCGTCTCCGATTCGGGCGGCACCTGGGATTTACCGCGGATATTCAAATCAGACTCGATCAGATACCCGCCTAGGTGGTGCGGTTTGGACTCGCGAGCATCATCATCATCATCCCGGAACCGGTCCGAGGGCGACACTGAAGGTGGCCGTCGCGCCCACTTGGTGTCGTCCCGCCATCTCGGAGGTGCCTCCCGACGTAGTTTCTTCTTGAGATGGCCCCTGGGTGATGTCGGGGGTGGTCTATGACAGTCGCCGCTCCTGCTGTGTTTCTCCATCCCGGCCGACAAACTTTATGCGGCGCAGAGGCGTTGTGCAGCGTCGAATTGAGGTTGAATTAAGGCTTGTCGCATGTGTGGGTCGACGCGTTGAACCATTGACGCCCAAGGGATTAGTTTGAGTGGCGACTCGAGAGTGGGGTTCTCTCATAGGGGTTGGTCGAATCCCAGGAAGCGTGAATGCAAGGAAACGGTCAACAAGCGAGGCGGTGAATAATTAAGAGAGGGTATATTTAGACTGTAGGGCTGGGTTCTTTCGACTGTAACTCCCAGATATAACCCTAAACCCGGGTTAAAAAGGTACATCCAGCTTTCTGCCACCCGCTGCACCGGCCCACCCAGCATGAATTCTGCCGGCCCAACCGACATCTGCCTTTTCCACCCAACCAAGCCAAACTATCGCCGTCATCTCCGCGCCAGCGATCACGATCGCCAACAGCCGGAATCAATTGCCCATAGTAAGCGCTATCGATAGGGGCTTCTAACTAAGATAGCTACGTAGTTAACCAGACCTGAGGGCAGTTAGATCGATCAATTCTGGCCTCTTCGAGCAATTAAAACGATCTCATTCGATTGAACGTCGGTTTGCGTTGCGACCGACCAATGCGACCGGGGCTGACCGCCTTGAAAGTGGGGCTTACTTTTCTCACCGCCTTTAAAAGTGGGACGAGGAGCAGGTACCACAGTCGAAAGAGCTCAGATCTACAGTCAAAATATACCCTCGCATAATTAAATCATCGGATGGAGTCAGGTTTCTTCAACCCGCAGCCACACCACATCGCCATCACGGTCACGAGCCTTCCAAAAAGTTCACGCCAGTGCAGCTACAAACCACATGTCCTAGATGCTTCATATTTTATCATCCCTTCAGGAATTAGCTGACCTTAGCCAAAAAAAAAACAGTGCCCAGCGCCCTTGCGAGAACTTCACCTGGGTGTCCCAATCATCTAACAACCTCCCAACAACTCGAATCTACAGGAAAAGGATTTCGACCGCCCTTTCTTCCACCCGGCCCACCCTCTCTCATTGACATACATACGTCGTCACAGCGCCAACAGGGAGCGTTGTCGTCGTCTCAAACGTCCCCGGCGGTCCGTAGCCCGCCAGCGCAGTGCTGACCACCAGGGGGCAGCCACCGCAGTTGACAGTGGACGTCGTCGTCGTGAAGCTCGCGTAGGTCGTTGCCGTCTTGCCAGCCGAGCGCACCGGTTGCACGACCAGCGTGGTTGGACATGCCGCGGGGTGGACGCCGTCCTCCGGGCTCCGCACGGCCTTGGGTCCGGATTCGGCGGTCGGGGTCGTGGCGGCGGGCGCGTCCACCTCGGTGCGCTTCGCGACCCCGGTCGATTGTTGGCATATGGTGCTCCAGGACGTGCTCGGGATCCCCGCCCTCAATGTCGCGTTGATGCTCTGGTTGGGGCAATAATAGTAGTCCTTAGAAACATATACGCTGCTGCACCCGTTGCAGTTTATTTGTTGGAACAAAATCGTTGTGGAAGGGTACATGGTCGTCGTTCCGTCCCAGGAGCACGGATATCCGAACGTCTCGGACAGCGTCGTCGTGCATGCTTGGCCGGGCCACGGGTGGAGAATAACTGTGTCCGCTGGCGACGCATTAGGGTCACCAATGTTGAGGGCTTCGCGGCGGCCAAGAACCGGTTCCGCCGCCGCGCCGTTGTCGGCTCTCAGCTCTATCGCCGGCGCCACTGTCGGCGTCGATGGTCCATGACCAGCTGGTGACCCGCCCGCGACGGTGGTTGATATTGCCAAGTGGAAGGGTTCGCTCCTGTCTGCACGGCGTGCTGGGGAACTGGAGACAGGCACCAGGGCCGTTGAAAGAAGGAAAAGCATCAGCAGTTCCATGGCGAGCGAACGAGGGACCAATATTGGAGGTTGAGTCGGCGTCAAACGAGGAAGCTTGTCCGATGCTGGGTTTCCGTTGAGCCGCGTCGAGATTGAGTCGTGGAGGGAGTGGGGTGAGGGTCCACGTCAGCCCGGGGTTCTTATGAGCCGATCAGCCCCAGACAAGTTCACGGTTCTCGAACAGGCATGTAGTTCCGGGTCAGAAGACAGTTTAAAAGAACAAGATGCGTCGTAGTGTCCGCTTGGCAACCGGGTAACGGCGAAAAGAGAGTTCTTGGATGCTGCAGCGGTTTATGCAACGCACCTCAGATGGGGGCAGTATTGCGTTGCCAGTGCGACGTCAACGGTGTCGGCGTCCAGCGAGGCTCGGGGCATGGTGAGAAATCCTGGGTGGCGGGCCTGGAGGCAGCACGTTGTGCGGTACGCTAAACCCTGTGTGGATGTCAAGGGAGACAAGCTTCTGGACCGATGGATTAGCGTCGCGCTGGACCGGTTTCTTGGAGCTGGGCAACCTCCTCAGCTCGGCGAGACGCGAATCAATTTTTGGAAACCAAGGTAGCGCGAATTCCGGGCCCCGGGGCCACGAATTTATTGCCCCATCAAGCTGCGAGACTTGCCCATCAGAAATGCAGGAAATGCTATCCCAGCAATGCGGTCGAGAAAGACCAAGTTGTCAGTCACCCAATTGCCTGAAGCCGCTCGGCGGAAGGAATAGCAGGCGTCGCATTGTAATATTCTGGCAAGGTGGCCGAGACAAGATAACAAGCTCCGGCAAGTGAGCCAAGGAGACCGCCTCGACGATTGGGTGGATAAATGGCGCGAAAACCGTGTCGGGCCAGTTCTGGCGTGCCTAATGCCGAGAATTACGGAGTACTTCCATTGGAATTGCCTCCGCGGTGCTCCAAATCGGGGTGGCTGTCCCGTGCGCCACTCCGGTCGAGTCGAGAAAAGAAAAGAAAGTGGTCGATCCGATTTCACCGAGGTACGCGTACGGCGTGGACGTGGAAAGTTCCAGGACTGGCCGAATTACATAGGCTCTAGCTGCACACACATGTCTCCTTCGTTGATTGAAGAGAACTAACAGACAATGTGACAGACAATCTCTCTTGATGGTTCCGGGTTGAAATGAAAGCCGGTAAAGACCTGAATCAAGAAGGGGTTGGGTGGGTGTGACCCCTGGAATTAATCGCCCCACCGCGGGAGTTCAAGGTCGCCAAAAATAGAAAGAGCCACCCGCACCTGAAAAACTCGTCCACTGCAGGTCCGGTGTTCACAGGTGCCCTTGCATTCCAAGTCCGGACCCTCTCATTTTGAGGCCTATTTTCACCTCGACACAGATAAAGCCTGGTTTGGAACCCAGTCTTGCCAGTGCAAGCTGCATTGGGGCTGAACGCCATCGGCGACACCTTCCTCTCTCGTCGCGGGGTAGCTTGCGGCCCCCAAAACCGGGTTTGGCCCACGGAAGGAAGTAAAGTTGGCCCTCGCCGAACTGGGACCGTTGTGCTGCAGCGGCCATGCAGGAGAGGAGGGAGAGGAGCGAGCCGTAGTTGGTTCTGGCTGATTCCGCCCTCCGCCGGCAAACCCCGTCAAACCTCATCCCGTTGACACCGAGTTCGGTCTACTCCTCTCCATACACCTCTTCTCTATGTCAGAGAAGCTGTAGTTGGGTGGATCGCCACGTTTTACAAACAAGGTCGGGAAACTCTGTGATCATCCGAACAGCCGGTCCCGACAAAGACTCACAATGCTTGGTTCCCCGCATTTAAGCATTGGCCATTTCGCAGACTCGGATGACCTCGACCTCAACCTACCTAAACACCATGTTCTTTGGCATGCTCCTAGTCGCATCGTGGTTGTTGCCACCGCCCGCTGACGCACGCACTGTTAGCGCGGGGCCGATTTCTACCACAGCATTACCGCAAACGAAAACAGCGGAAGATAGTCTCATCACCCCAGTTCCAACCTACGCTCTGGCCACATTCGACATTCGTCTCAGCAGCCTATCCGCAGCCCGAACCGCCTATCCGGGATGCACCTTTGTAAAAGAAGCTTCTCAAAGGCCATCAAAACAGCCTCCCCGAGTCACAGACGTAATCCCCCAAGGGTCGGAAGCAGAACCTGAATCCAACCGTTTCAATCTAAAAGGCGGCAACGCCGGGGGCCGGAGAACGAGGCCGGTACAGCCGACGATTTTCGAGGCATGAACAATGACACACGGAAATACTCGGGTGTATCTTTGTTATGATGGAAATGTTGCCGGTGCGTCGAGAGACAGGATTCAATAATACCATAACTATCAAAATGGCATCACAACCAAAAGTCGCCCCCGGCCGGCAACATCAGGCGTTTCATCTAATGTCCTGTGAGGTCGAGCAACGTTTTCCACAAATCTTACCGTTATAACACCGATCAATAAAAAAGGGGAAAAGATATGTGGCTTGGGTTGTAGGCCGAGAGCGGGCGAATTGGGTATTGCTAATCATGGCCGTTTATCATCATTTATCCATCCCTTCAAGTAAGGTGAATCAACCCAACATCCGTTTTGGCCCCGTGAGGTTAAGCTAACTTATCTTGAGCTCCAGCTTCTCAATATTTGGCTGAAGCCTTTTTAGCAATGCGGGCAAGACTGGCAGGGACTTGGAGCCTTTGAGGACATCATTCTGAGCGGAATTGGCACAGGGTTTCCGGCAAGACATGAAGGAAGGGACAACAATCCGGCCTAGAAGCAGAAGTTGTTTACAGCTGAGATGCGTACTGCCATCATTACGACCAGAACGACTCTCAATTCCCGTTGCTAGCTAGAGATGCGGTACGGGGCGTAGATAATGGTGTCCAAAGCTTCAGCGGTTACAAGAGAATGGTTTGTAACATGCAATGAATCCCTGCCATCCCAAGACAGCACACTAGAACCTGTCGCTACTCTTGATCGCATCGCTTAGCAGCAGAGCTTGGCGCCGCAAGTGTCGTAGCATCCCAGGACGCAGGAGCAGATCTGCGGGGCAGCCTCGGGGTTCGCGGCCGGCTGGGGCAGAGCCATGGCGCTGGCGACCAGCAGAGCGGCAGCGGTGAAGATGGTGGTGAACTGCATTGTGACCTGGAGGCTCTCGTGGTTAGATTATGCCACCGTACCTAGGTTTGGTGGCTGAATTTACCTGAGTGATCTGAAAGGTGTGTGTGTGTGTGTGTATCGGCGTCAAGGGAGCTCTAAGGAAGAAACTAGAACTGATCACAAAGTTGGTGGACGGGTGGTTTATAGACTTGTTTGACCAGCCCTCCTCTTCCTCTAACCAGGCATTCCGATCCCGCCCTCCTATCACTCTATGCCTGACAACAACCAAGGCTTCCTCCCACAGGCCAAGCGTGGAGCACTTTGAACATGCAACGGAATCACCTGGCCTAGCAATCCTCCATATAACAGCGGCGGTCTACAATTGGTCATTCTTTTCAAAATCGTTCAGACAAGGAGAAGCACGAGGGGCACAGACAGCGGTTAATATTCTAAGCGAGCCACAAGAGGAGAAGATAGGAGGATATATTCTCAAAGGATTCGAAGGATTTCGAGGATCCGCACTCACCTGCAGTCCAGACTCCAACGAACTCTAACATTTTGTACGAGTTTTGAAGTCCCGAGAGTCCGATGACATCCCGGTCCTCCCAATTCAGGTTTCTTCTCCGCGGATCAGAGCCTCTCAGCCGCCACAGCCAATCAAAATGAATACACCATCGAGAATTCATCCACGGAAGCGAGCCCTCCGCATGTATGGTGCGATTTCTATCACGAATACAACCCAGTAGAGGTTTGGTGGCGGGGACTGGTTCTTATTTCCGCATCTCTTAACTCAAAGGCCATTTCTAGCTGGTGGCGTAGGTACTTTTGAACCCAATCCCCAAATCTCTCTTCGTTCGTTGCATTGACTTTGTCCTAAGAAATCTTCGACAGCTTCGGCCCTTACGGGTTGAGAACCGAAGGAGACGAAGGCGGGTGCTGTGAGAAATGACAACATCCTACACAAAATGACAACATCACCAAGTGGAAGCGTATAAAAATTAGAGGATTGAAAAATGACATAATCAAGACAAGGGCGAAGACAGTTTACATGCCGCTTGGCACCAATATTGTGCAAGTTGACAGGAGGTGGGTATGGGTGCAGATCGACAGGCCCTGAGTGGAATTTTATAGCAGAACCGATGAAGTCTGGAAGCCACCGTGTATGTACCAACATCATGTATTCAAAGCCTCCCGTTGCATCTTAGTAATGCGTCGGTTCACGCAACGTGTATCCTTCGATACAAGCCAGCTATAACACGGTCTTATCAAGCTTAAACCGGCCATCTTCACGCAATGTGGGGGCCCTTTTTTAGAGTCATGTTGAATTGCTTCATGATTGGGATCATGTACCTGCCACGCAAATGCTGTGGTGGATGCGTTGATACTTTTCTCTGTTTTCCTTTTCTATCCTGTCTGTTGTATTATCGATTTTCCTCGGCTCTTTAAAGTACCAATGTCGGACCTCATAGCCAAATCCCACAAAATCAAAAGCAATGGGGAAACCCCTTCCGTCCTTAAAGGCGGCTGTTCATTTATTGTCGCTCCAATCACCAACTGTAGATATAAGGGGACACTGTCCGCGATACATAGGGATTAACACTACAAAATAACGCATTAGGCGGTTGGGTTAAATGCTGTTGTTGTCCGGGAGTCAGACCGTTAAGTTTCGATTCTCGTCTTTAGTACCTAGAGTCGTGACTATATTCGGAACTCTACCAGCTTTGACAAAGCGGAAATGCCATCAGAGAAAACGAGACTAAGCAACTTAACCCTTGTCCGGCTCGGAGATGACGGCTATCAAGGCGGATGGAGGCAGCTAACACAACTTCGGCGGTGCTGAAGATTGGAACAACGGAATCCCGTATGTAGAGTTAATATTTCAGGGGCTTGGTTTCTTCAGGGGCCAGAAGTTGAGGCGCAAATTTGCCTAGATTGTCACGTAGCTGATAGCGCTGAACTGGAAAGTCCAAGGCCATAGCATGCCTACGATGGATTATGCATACGTGTAGACAATAGTGTGGGAGAGAGTCAGCCCAAACCCCCCTTGCAACGAGGAGCGACACCAGACCAACAACCCGCATTTAGTTAGCGGAATCCTTGAATCCTTGTCTCAAAGGCTTTTGTAATCTCCGGACGCGGCAATATTATATGGCATCATGTTGTCCCCTCCGCAGCTGCCACCTTGACGGGTCACTGGTTGGGCGTGGCCTGGCGCCCTAAGTTCTCTGCCCAGGTTTAAAGTTACCAAAAGTGCTGCTCGATGACTGCTTGCTCGATCAAAGTCGAGCTGATATCGAAACCCTCAAAGCGACTATAACGGATGTGGGGGGTCAGCTTCTTCCTATTGGTATTGTGGGCAGAATCGTGAGATATCTGGGTCATCGAAATCATTAAGCTCACCCAGTTCGCGGGGTGCCATCTTGAGAAGTTTGACGCCGGGCCTCCCTCAGAAAAACATCGTCATCCTTTTCTCCGGCTCGACTTTTGGGAGAGAGTACAATCGAATATCGAATCTTAGCCTCTATTAGCCGTCCCCCGCCAAACCCTGGCCGGGTTTCACCATCCGGACCGGCGGAGCGCGGGTTGGCACGTCTTCGACAGGCTGTATGGGAACGAAGACGTGAAGGCCGGCGTAGAATGGAAAAGGGACCCCTCCGTTCCGTCATTTTCGACCCGGCCCACAAGCAGGAGAGCCTGAATTACCCGTCATACTCCGCTAGCGGGGTTGGTTGGTGGTCTCGAACGGTGACTTTGTAGGAGGTATAGTACTCGCATGGACGAAAATAGCCCTGTATACTCCGGTCGTTTTCCCGGTCGGAGCTCGCGCTCGGGAGCTTTGGCCCCTTCGGCCTAAGTTGTCTCTTCGGGGGCGGCCGGCGTGGGACCTTAGTCAGGTTGACAACTATCAAGTACACATCACGAAAGCAGCTGACTCGCTCGTCGTTTAACTAAGGCGACGCTGAAGTTTAGCCAACCCTTTAAGCCCCTCTCCCAGGTAGTATTGCCGCCTCCGCACTATTCGAGTGCCGAAAGCTTGTCGCAAGGAAGACTTGTTGCGTCTTAGCTCGCGCTGGCACTGACGGAAACCGCCGTCGAGAAGCTTCTTCTTCTCCCACCTTCCTCGATGTGGTTACAGCAGATAATACAGCCTGAAATGTGCCGGCGCCACCGTTGCATCAAAGTAGTCGGCGCCTCCGCCAGTAACCGGGGGGACCGAAGCAATCGTGAGCACGACATGGGCGAGTTTTGCAGTTCGGGCATCAAGGGGCTGTTGGTGGTTGAGAGTTGAGACGCCGAGTCCCGTCGAAGCGGGTCTTCACCGAAGCTAAGGGATGGACAATGTTACCTTGGGGTCCCTTTTATTCTAAAAGTGGGAATCTCGGACCCAGCAGTGCGGCAGTCGACCCGGTTCCAGCCAAGAGCGGCTTCTGTGTTCCGGGTTCTGGGGCCTGTCAGATCTCGGGAGATGCTTCAGGCTAAACCATGATACCATTTTATTGGTGCGCAAAATCCGGGGGTGCATCGAAGCCCGGCCGTTGATAATAAAAGTAGCAGACCAACCTCAAGCCGCACGCTCCGAGGGAGAATGAGTTCGTTCATAAGGTGTCAAGGGTATCAACAACACCATGCCAGAGCGGGTGACGATGGCGCATTCAAACCGAGACAGGAATATGATCGACAATGGACAAGGGGATCTACGGAAAGGATGGTGTGGCCCCAGAAACCGGGGCACTCCTGGTTAGTGGGCTGGTTACCGGGTAATGGGGTGATATGGAGTGGACACAGAGAACCGCGAACACCAACATCACGAGCCATCAGGAAACCGAACGGGAAGCCGAACGAGCAGCCAAGCGCATGATACTACGGTCAGCGGAGGGGGGGCAACAATGCGCGAGTGGGCCATGATTGTCGGGAAACGACATATATAGCCCGTCATCATCACCCCTCGGTTTCTGTTTGTTTCTCATCACCATCCTCAGCAGCATCCAGCATCCAGCACTCGGAACCCGAGCATCCTCACTCCACCGCAGCCATGGTCTCCTTCAAGTCCCTCCTCGTTGGCGCTCTCGGTGCCGTCGGCGCCCTCGCCTTCCCCCTGAACACGACTGAGCTCACCGAGGCTCATGCTCGTGGCGAGAATGTGACGGCGCTGCTCATGGCCCGCGGCGGCACCCCGAGCCAGACCGGTTACCACGGCGGCTACTACTTCTCGTTCTGGACCGACAACGGCGGCACCGTCAACTACTGGAACGGCGACAACGGTAACTACGGTGTCAACTGGCAAAACTGCGGCAACTTTGTCGGTGGCAAGGGCTGGTACGTAACATAAAAGCCCACTCCTTCACCGCTGAGTGGATAGTGAGGGAACGTTGTGAGGAAACCCGACGAAACTAACCCACATACAGGAACCCGGGTGCGTCGCGGACGATCAACTACAGCGGGCAGTTCAACCCATCCGGCAACGGGTACCTGGCGGTGTACGGGTGGACGACGAACCCGCTGATCGAGTACTACATTGTGGAGTCGTTCGGCACGTACGACCCGTCGTCGCAGGCGCAGAACCTGGGCACGACCTACATCGACGGCAGCAACTACAAGATCGCCAAGACGACGCGCTACAACCAGCCCTCCATCCTCGGCACCTCCACCTTCGACCAGTTCTGGTCCGTCCGCCAGAACAAGCGCTCCAGCGGCAGCGTCAACGTCGGCGCCCACTTCTCCCGCTGGGCCCAGAGCGGCCTCCGGCTCGGCCAGCACAACTACCAGATCGTCGCCACCGAGGGCTACCAGAGCTCCGGCTCCTCCTCCATCACTGTCTGGTAGGCGGAGTAAAGTGGTGAGGAGGAGGAATCAGCCCCGGGAGGTCCTGCGAACCGTCTTCCCTAAGCGAGGGGGTTGAACAGGGGGTGTCGGGGGGTTTTGGACCGGTGGGCCTGGCGGAGCTTGCGATCGGGCCTTTCCGATCGTGCGAGGTTTCTCCGTTTCTTGTTTCTTCTTTGAGCTCCGGACCTCTCTCTGTACATAGTTATGCGCGATTCATTCTAGGTCTGTGTGGTGCGCCAGCGTTGAGCACCATAGGCCCGTATATACAGCCGTTTCTGTCATCCACAATCATGCTCGTGCTAGTCGTGTTTTCGTCTCGCCTCCTTATTGATACGAGTTGGATGACTCCCCTTCGGCCTGGAGCTTTCGGAGATCCTCCGTTGAAGTGGATGCCCTCCCCGGCTCCATCATGGCGTTTCAATTTAAACGCATAACAACGATGTAGAAGTTGGTGGGCCTCGAACCCTGCCCGCGCGGTATCTCAATTCCCACACACCCGTACTGATTTAAACCGCAAATAACCGTTTTGTGCACTATGCATGTGTGGAAGCAGCCGTCTCTTCAAGGAACGAGTGATTGCCCCGTGGCAAAATCTATGGTGACCAGCTCAAATAATCCCTTCAATGATCGATGCTAGATGATTTACCCTGTATCATTTCCCTTGACCAAGGTCGAGGACTGTATTGCCAGCTAGACTGTGGGAAACGGCATACACAGGAGATTTGGATGCGAATGTTTTGTTGATTGGCTGACTATGGTAACTTGTGAGCCTAAGCCGCGGCGCGGATGCAATGACAACATCAAAACTGTGTATCAAAGCCAACCCCGGTCGCTGCCCAAGTTCCCAAGATATGATACACTGCAGCGATTTCGACGCGCGTGTTGAACATCGTCGGATGAGTTGCAACTGAGACGTTCTGTATCAATGGGCCCCCTTCTCGTCCTTGCTATGGTTCGCGGGTGGCCCGCCAGTCTTGCTGTGAAGTTTGTTGTCTTTTTCTCTTTGTTTCCTCCCCCATTTTTAGGCTTCGGTGTTTAAAGTCCTCACTCCGCTGGTTGTGTATTACGGGTGAGTCGGGGTGGTCTAATGACGGTGTTAATCAATTTCCCAGGTCTCTGAATCATGGACGGCGTTGCTTGCCTTGTCGAGGCTTCAGAGACACTGAGTACACATGGAAGGATTGGTTTCCTGGCGTGGTGACATAGGGCGGGCAAGCCGGGAGTTGTTTGTAATTCGCCAACAGCCAGCAGCCTGATTCTTACATATCGAGTTGTTGCCACGGATATTGGCGTGCGAGTGCTTGGTGCGCACTTGGCTCGGAGATCAGGTGCCGATAAAGAAGTCGGCATCGTGGATGTTAAATATGGAGTTGAATCCACGTGTTCGGTTCTGTCAACATTTAGCAGATGGCGCAAGAGGCTAATCTCAGGGTGTCCGCGCTCACCGCATCTTCAGGTCCCCAAGCGGCGCCCCATCCCGAGCCTTTCTTATCATGAGCCGCCTCGCCACCTTTCACAGCAAAAGACGGATCTCGACCAGCCGCGTCCCGCAGAAGCAGCAGGCAGCGGTTTAATTCCTCTCCGACAACAGTCAACACGGACCGCTCTACCTCGGCGTCAGAAGCACCACGCTGAAGCGCCTGTGCCTGACAAAGCAGCGCAGAGAACAGAATGTATCCCTTGACGTTCGTCTCTCCACATCGTACCCGCCGTTCAGTCCAACCGATCGAATACTTCACCGCCTCTAATAGCTCTAACCGCGGCGCGGCACCACTACCGATGCCCATTCCCACGGAGTTGCCTACATCCGTCTCACTGCCGGGTTGCACTGGGCGATCTGGTGGGTGGTCGATGTTCATACTTTGCCGAAAGGAGCGGTCTTCTTGGACTTGCCATAGGAGTTCGAGACAGATAGTCAACACAGCTAGTGTCGGAACCGCCCGGAAGGCGCCGTATCCGCAGGTAGCAAGTCGGGTAAAGTCGTCAGACTGGCTTGCCGTTCCAGAGTCCCCAGCAGGAGAACCAGTCGCAATAGCGCGGTAGAGTTTGAGTGATGTCTCGACACACATCTTGCGGGCGAAGTAGTAGGTCGGGTTATTGTGAGCGGACCATAACCAAGGGTGATTCAAAGCCAGGAAGAAGCGGTGTACCATATGCTCTGCTAGGCGCAGCTGGAATAATGAGAGACGTTTGGGAAGGATTCCGGCGGGGTCGTAGAATGGCTGGAAGGTGGCCGAGAGCGCCCGACAAGCGTTTGTCAACTCGGTGTTCCATTTTAAAGTTTCCTCGAAAGTCGCAGGTGAGCTGAAATGATTGACATATTGCGCGATGGCTAGCCGTACGGGGAATGATCGAAGAAAGGGCGATCTGGACGGTGGTCTCGGTGAATGCGTTGGGAGGCCGAGGTATCGACGGAAATTTGGCGTGTTCAGCGAGTTGGTCGTCATCATAGTTGGGAGGGTGGGCGGGTGTCAAAATCAGACAAGTTTAGGAGAGGTGGGGCGCCGGAATCCAAGCTGGATTGCAGCACGATTTCGAGGACGGATGCCCAAAGCCGTCTCCTCATTTCTGCGCTAAAAACGGACTGGTGAGGTAGGTTATCTGGGTCACGGTGGAGGCCGAGAAACATGGCCGTCCGCAACAATGAACCGGCACTTATCCAGACCATGTCACCTTCGATGCCGCATGTTTCCCTCGCCATGTGAAGCAAGCACATAACTTGCAGACCGGGGAAGCTGACCAAAGACTTCTCAGTGGGCGAGACGAGCCAGACCTGGGCTTCGCGTACCCATTGGATAGCCGAGCGGCGGAGCGCCACTGCATCGTCTTGGAAGCAGGCTCCAATGGCCATGCACAGCTGGAGTTGCACCACAAACGCCGGGTCAGCGTTGGTTGGGCTGTCCCAGTATTCCTGACAACCCTGCCAGAAGGTGGGCCGATGAATAATCCGATAGACGCTCTCGAAGGTCCTAAAGTAGGCGTTTACTAGCTGAAGCGCGGCGTCCTTGGGAGGGATGGATTTTCCGAGCTGAGGGGGGGTTGACGACCAAGCCTTTGTCGACTGAATGGTGCTACCTAGTTCTCGGCATCTTTGAAGAGAAAAATACGCCTCGGAGCTTTTATCGGATTCAATGCGCGCGGCGATGTTGACAGCGAGGGGAAACTGTCGGACAGTCAGCCCGACAGCTCATGGCATCAAACGCAGGGGTGGCACATGCTCAAGCCAGTGACGAATGGCAACGCTGACGGAGATGGGAATAGGATGTTTCGCGATGGAGACGACGGTCGAATCGCCGAGGCACGGAGGAGCTTGAAAAGGGTGACCTACGAGCTTTTCCCCATTCATCATGGAGTTCACTTTGGACGGCCGGGACGAGGGCCCAAGATCCGGGGATAACGTTTGGTGGGCCGAGCGGGCCGAAGGTGAGCCGTAATCTGGGCGTTTCAGTGCATCGGCGAGTTGCTGTTCCAGTTGCCGGACCCGCTCCGCAAGGGCCGTCGTGTTGCCGAGTGGGCCCGAGGTTCCGGCGCCGGGTTCGGCATGGTGCATTTGCGGCAGTGAGCGCGGACTCGCGGCTGGACGGGGCTCCGGGGTCTTGCCGTGCGGTGGCACAGCACCAGTGCCGGGACCTGCACATGGGGGATTTGAGGTTGGGGGCGGCACCGGCAATGCCATGTCCCGGAAGGTGAAAGCCGAATTCGCGCCCGCGCGCTCGTCGGCTGACGTCGGGGACAGCTCGGGATGGTGATGGCCGGCGGCCGGGGCCGGGGATAATCGCCATAGCCGCGGTTTTGGGCGACGAGCTTCCTCGTAGGTGCAATTGACGATCTTAGACTTCATGCAGCTGGCGCATGGCTCGTTCCGATCGCATCGGATTTTGCGCGTCCTGCACTGGATGCACGACAGCGCAGGCCGGTTACGCCGCCGGGGCTCGCCGTGTTTAAGGGTTCCCGGACTCCCAGCAGAAGCGGGCGTGGTTGGCGCCGGAACCGGTGCGGGTTGCGCAGCGTCCGTGACCATATCCACGTCCATATCCGCACACCCGGCTTCGTCGAGACTCGATGTCCCGGTGGGGCCCCGGAAGGGCAGGCAAGGTCGAGCGCGATGGCGAGGGTTGAAGGAACAGAATCTTGAATTCGTCGGTTGGGGGAGGAACAGACCGGAGAAGACGGAAGAACGCGGTGCAATGGGAGAACCCACAAGGTCAAAGCCCGAAGCAAGGTTTCCCGCGGCGCTCTGCGTTCTTTCCGTAAGGTATGTGTATGTGTATGTATGTACAAGAAAAAGAAGAAAAGAACCTGGGTAGGAAGGTGCACGATTCCAGGGCGATCGCGTCAGTGCTCCTCGGTCCTGAGTTCCCCTTTGGCCGTCCCGGCGGGAGCAGCAGCAACAGCAGCAGACAGGCACGGGAGGGACAAGCTGCAGCAACCCACTTTCCACGCTTCCAATTCCGCGGCTTTTCGTCCCAAGTGCGTGCTGGTGTGCTGCACCTGCCCACGAGGTTATTGGCTTCAGATCGGCATCTCGTGCGGAATGCGGGGGCTGGGAAAGCTAATCACCGACACTTGCCGTTTTTGGGCTAACGTCGGGCACAAAATTCCGGGTATTGGTTGAGTGTTTCGCGGGGAACGTTGCAGGTGGAAGTCACAAGCGTCCGGCGATTTTACCCAGAACCGAAGTAGTTTCGAAACATAAGAGGGCGGACAGGCACTGACGGGGTTACTTTCAGCGCAGACCCAGGCCGTCGGGTGTTCTTGGAGCGTGTCAGCTGTCAGCGGGAGCAAAATCAATCCGCAGAACAGGGGCTGGCGCCGCTGACTTGCATGTGTTGCTTTTTTTGATCGGACAACGAGCTGCGGCACCATCTCTGTCCAAGCTCCCGTCTCGGAAGCACCCGCCTTCGCACCTCGAGCCCCCAAATTCCCAACGGCGACGGCGCCCGGATTCGGTGCCAAGGCTGATTAGCGTCAGTGGGTCCATTATCTCCGCGGCCGGCCGGCTGGGAGACGCGGGATCAGGGGTTCCGAGGCAGGGTCCTTACTTTTGGGTCTGCGGGCGGGTGAGGTGTGTGTGGGCAGCTCACTGCAGTTTCTTTGATCTCTGTCTGATCTCTGTTCGCACCAGGTAATTCCGAGGGATGTGTGCCCCCAACTAACTACCGTGTCTGTTTTGCTGTATACTCGAAGTTACGGCTGAACGGGGATGTTGCTTTCCATCTCGATGCAACTTGCCAACTAATTTGCAGTGTTTGCCCGAGTCAGTCTCCAGGGGTGCATACTTGGCCCTTATCTTCCTTCTGTACGGCAGATGCATGTACAGGTCATGGATATGCAGATGGGACAGCAGCAGTCCGATGCGATGCTACGGCGTCGTCGAGAAAGTGATGATTTGACACAGTACCAAACGGACTTTGGGGTGGGCACCCTATCCATCGCGGACTGTGTAACCTGTATCGGGTTCGGGGGAAAGCCCGGACTTGGGTCTTGCTGCGATCCTCGAAACGACGCAATCTGTGCAACGATGGAACCCATGGATCGATTGATCGATGGATTGATTGCTTGAGTTGAAAAAGACCCACACAGGGAGCTCGACCAAAAAAAAAAAAAGATGACTGCTTGTCCGCTGTGCCCGCTAATTGTTGCCAAATCGGATACTTGACAGGGTTATCTTGCCCTTACCCATGCTCCCATGATTCGACGAAGATGTGCTGGAACGGAACATGATGAACATATCCTATCACAGTAACTCCCTCGCCAACGTCACTCTTTGGTCGGCTCGTATCCCCAACTCGTCCAGACTACCACACTGCAGCCTGCCGGGATTTTCGGAGATAAAAAGACAGATTTCCCACCGCCACGGTGTTCCACAACCACTCCCCCACCCAAGTCCGGGCCGCTCCAGGGCATCCGGTTCGTTCCTGCGGGAGTCTCGGGCTGACCTTTGCAGGGTGCTTTGGGAAAGTCCCGATCTCCCCCGATAGTTGAGTGCGTTCTGAGAGCAGACTCGAAGTACATACGCTACCCAACGTAGTACCCTCGTTCGCCCTGTTTACTGTGTCGGGACAGCCACATATAGATTGCTTGGTGCGTTATTGCGCCGAAACCGCCTCCCCGCCGAAACACCCCGGGCAGCACAGGAGGGCAAGGTGATTCGCTCGTCCGACTGTGCGGTTCTTCTGGCTTGCTTGCGCGAGGGGCTTGTGACAATTAGTTGGCACAAGCAACAACTCGAGACGCTTGCTTAGTAAAAAAAACAACAACCTCCTCATATTTCACCATATTGGTTGGTACCGCACCCGGTCAAGTATTAGGTTTCTCCGAGGAAGCGTGGTCGTCTGCGGTTATTATCTGGCACAGACATGCATACATGGGGGACCAACCATGTGACCTGAAACTCCATGCTCAATTAAACAACCCCGAACGCGCGAATAATCTGAGGTCAATGTACAAATAACAAGACAAACGGATCCTGTATTCCCAGCGCCGAGACGTAGAAGCGCGCTGGGGTGACCACGCCATCCAGGCTGTGTTATTTGCAAGCTCTGATGGGCTGTCATGCCAAAATGACGACCAACAGATGGCGCGCCCAAAACAACCTTGCGTGAAGATTCCCGAGTAGCCCTCCCACCGTCCGCACCGGATTTCCGTATCCTTCTATAACGCCCCGCCGCGGGGTCGATTCCAGGTTACTTGATATCATCCGCCACAGCGTCCCATCCTTGCCCTAGTCAAACACTCTCTCGTTGAGACGACACTCTAAAGAAGGAGTTCGAGGGGGTTCTCAATGGCCTTCTTGAGCTCGCGTACCCACTCAGCACCGACGGCGCCGTCGATGACCTTGTGGTCGAAGCTGGCAGTGACGACGATCTGGTCGTCCCACTCAACGCCGGTAGTGCCATCCTCGTTCTCGGCGGGGACGGCGACCTTCTTGGTGGTGCCGATGGCTAGGATAGCCGCCTGCGGGGGGTTGATGACGGCGGTGAAGCGCTCAACAGCCGGGTTCATGCCCATGTTGGAGATGCTGATGGTGCCGCCCTGGTACTCCTCGGGCTTGAGCTTGTTGTCGCGGGCCTTCTTGGCAAGCTCCTTGACAGCTGATGAGATACCCTCGAGGCCCTTGCCCTCAACACCCTTCACGATGGGGGTGATGAGGCCGTTGGGGGTCGACACGGCAACCGAAACGTCAACCGTGTTGAACTGACGGATCACGCCGTCGCGCCACGAGCTGTTGACGGCCGGGACCTTCTTGCAAGCCACCGCCATAGCCTTGATCAAGAAGTCGTTGACCGAGAGCTTGTACTTGCCCTCCGAAGTGCTGTTCAGCGCCTGGCGAAGCTTCAGGAGCTTCGAGACTGAGAGGGTTGAGGTGACGAAGTAGTGCGGGTTCTCAGAGACTGACTCCTTGAGGCGTGCGGCGATGGTCTTGCGCATACCACTGATCGGGATGTCCTCGTACAGGGCACCGGCGACAGCACCGGCACCCGCAGCAGGGGCAGATGACGCCTTCTTAACATCCTCCTCAGTGATCTTGCCACCGGCACCAGTCCCCTTCAGACCCTTCAGCAACACGCCCTTCTCGATCGCCAACCTCTTGGCCGCGGTAGAAATGTTGGGCTCCCGGTCGAGGGCGGTCTGTAGTTGGCCACCAAATCCGGTTTCCTCAGCCTCGGGGGCAGGGGTCGGCGCCGGGGCGGGGGCAGATTCGGACTTGGGTTCCTCTTTCTTGGCAGGCGCCGGAGCAGCCTCACCACCGGCATCCTTGAGCGTGAAGTTCTCAAAGGCGCTGACGTCGGTTCCTTCCTCGACCAGAACGGCGATCGGCTGAGAGAGAGGCGCCAAGTTAGCTACCTGGTGTGCTCCGTCATGATGTTGTGGGGAAATCCGCGCAACTTACATTGCCAACAGCGACGTCCTTCTCACCACTGTCCTTCAGCACCTTGGCGAGGACACCCTCTTCTTGAAACTCAAAATCCATCTGGGCCTTGTCGGTTTCGATCTCAACAAGAACCTCACCCGGCGAGATGCTGTCGCCCGGCTTCTTCTGCCATGCACCAATATTGCCCGCCGTCATTGTCGGCGATAGGGCCGGCATCTTGACAACGGTGTGCGGCGGGAATGAGGCGTACCATCTTGTTAAGCTGGGGACTGCAACACGGGCAAGCCGAGCGTGTTGGAGGACTTGCCTCCGAATTGCAGGGACGAGCATTTTGGGTGTGGAAGAGAAATGTGGAAAAGCGTTGAGCGCAGGGAAAAGAAGCGAGAAAGGTTCTCAAACACGGCCACGGATGTGCCGGATTGTGCCCAGAAAATGCCCTCGTAACGGCGTATCGCCAATTGAGAAGAAGGGGGCAGAGAGTATGGAGAGGGTGAAGAAGAAAAGGCGGAAGCCGGAAACCGGAGGGCGATGATGGTCGTGATGCGGGTTGGGGACCAGTTTTTTTTGACGGGCTCAACTCGTTGGGAAGCTTCGCTAGCTTCCGTTCACCAAAATCTGGACGAGCCGGGATGGGACGGGACCTCCACACCAATCAGCATTGACAGCGCGAGAATGCGACGATGCACTGGCCAAGCGCGAGCCACATCAGAAATCGGAAAGTGCACGCAACGAAGAGGAATGTTTCGAGTCCAGATCACTTTTACAACTAACAGAAGGGACAAGGACTAAAGATAGTTCAAAGGAGAACATGTATGATGCATTGCCCTCTGTCTTTGTAGACTCAACGAGTTGAAAAAGCCCGATTTCCCTGACATTGCCTTTTTTTGATAAGCACAACCATGGTGGGTCACTTCCCAGCCACAGGCACAAGCAGATCGACGAGACATTTTGCTGGCCTGTTTTGGGCCAGGTCTCGTTTTGGGCAGTGGGGTGCGGCTGGGAACCCGCCATGCGACGGAAGCCCATTTTACGGACCAGGAAGCTGGCCGACGCGGGACCGTGCTGACCAGCTGGCGGAGCCGCGTCAGTTAGGAGACAGGGTCCCACAGTGAGCGACTGCGAAGGTTTGCTGTCATCTTCACGAACTCCTTTCTGGGTTCCGCGAAACATTGAGAGACTCGGATTGCGCGCAGCATTTTCCAAGAGACGACATTCGCTTTCCTCACCCGCCGGATTTCTAAATTTTCCGCATCTCATCGATTGTTGGGTATGCGCATCTCTCTTTCGGCAGCTTAATTCCCATTTCCGGTTCTACTGCACAGACCCCTCGAAGATACCCCAATCGCGAATTTGGGTCGACGAGCCTCTAACTAACAAGGAGGACAAAGAAAGGCACAGGGCAACCGACCGTGCTCTACCGACATAATACTCAACACCTTCTCTCGAAGTCTTCGACAACCCCCCATGCGCTGACCGGTCCCCGAATGGCCTTCTGCCCCCAGAAGAACGCCGGCGCGCCATGAGCTCCCTCAAATTTGTGGTGTCCTCGTTGGACATCATCGCTGCACATGCCGGCCGTAACAAGCAGCTAGCCGAGCTGGCCGAGAAGGCCCTCGCTGCTATCAAAGAGAACGACCAACAACTCCCCGATGCCGAAGTCGTCTTTGCGCCCCTCCAACTGGCCACGAAGTCCGGCACTATCCCGCTTGCCACAACCGCTCTCGATTGCATCGGGAAGCTGATCTCATACTCGTATTTCTCTTCGCCTTCGTCGTCCGCAGATCAGGATGGCGCCGAGAGGGCACCGCTCATCGAGCGGGCCATCGACACCATCTGCGACTGTTTCCAAGGCGAGGCGACGCTGGTCGAGGTCCAGCTCCAGATCGTCAAATCACTGCTCGCCGCGGTGCTCAATGACAAGATAATTGTACACGGTGCCGGGTTGCTGAAGGCGGTGCGCCAGGTTTACAACATCTTTCTCCTGTCGCGGAGCACGGCAAACCAGCAAGTGGCTCAGGGGACACTCACGCAGATGGTGGGCACGGTATTCGAGAGGGTCAAGACCAGGCTACACATGAAAGAGGCACGCGCAAACCTTAACAAACTCAAGGCCAGCCGGAGCAACTTGGCTGTCGACCGCATAGACGATCAGGATGATGGGGATGACCAGGACTCGCAGGCCGACAAAGCGGACAGCGAGGGTCCTTCGGAGACGGTCTCGGACACTCCCCCCTCAAATACAGTCGACGAAACCGCAGGAAAGCTCACACTGAAGGATTTGGAACACCGAAAGAGCTTCGAGCCCCACGAACTTCGTCAGGGTATCAAGTACTATCACTTGCTCGAGTATCACCCCGCCACTGTAGTCGAGATCGGTGGATAGGGTTTTCCGATGTGTGCTGTGACATAATCATGCCTGATGTTGAAGTACATGAGGTCGTCGTTCAAGGTTGGTCAGAATCACTTTTGCGCGAAGCTCCCATGCTGACCTGGAGTCGTAGAACGAGATCGAGGTCTTTCTGAACGAGATCTATCTGGCTCTCCTTGCGCGAAGAAACGCCCCATCGTCGCAGAAACTCACCTTTGTAGGGATACTCAAGAGATTATGCGAGGATCCGCGAGCGCTAGTGGAGATGTACCTCAACTACGACTGTGACCGCAACGTGGACAACATCTTTCAGAGAATAGTGGAGGATCTTTCGAGGTTTGCGACGGCTTCGGTACCGATCAACCCTATCCAGGAGCAGCAGTATGAGGACCACCACTCGAAATCAGGGCCCGGCGGCGAGTGGCAAATCAAGAGTGTATTACCGCCGGCACTGTCAGTCGCCTTGATCGCTACGCACCATGAAACAGACGGCGAGATTCCCAAGGAATATGTCATGAAGCGTGCGGCCCTCGACTCCCTCGTCGAGACCTTGAGGTCTTTGGTTCATTGGTCACAGCCCGGGAGGCCCGAGGCCAACGGGGCGGTTGTTGACGTGCAGAGGCGCGCTTCGAGCGACGATCTCAGGGACTCGATCGACCCGTCGGCTAGCGAAACAGCATCTCGCATGGAAACACCAATCGCACCGTCAACTCCGGTCATTGACGACGACCCGGACCAGTTGGAGAAGGAGAAGGCGAGGAAGACGGCCATGACGAACGCGATTAAGGTCTTCAACTTCAAACCAAAACATGGCATCAAACTCCTTCTCAAGGAAGGATTTATCAGCAGTGACAGCTCTGAAGATATTGCTCGGTTCCTGCTGCGGGATGACCGACTAGACAAGGCTCAGATCGGCGAATACCTTGGTGAAGGGGATCAAAAGAACGTCGACATCATGCACGCTTTCGTCGACATGATGGACTTTACCAAGAAGCGGTTTGTTGATGCTCTCCGCGAGTTTCTCCAGGCCTTCCGCCTCCCTGGCGAGGCGCAAAAGATCGATCGTTTTATGCTCAAGTTTGCCCACCGCTACGTGACGGGTAACCCGAATGCATTTGCCAATGCTGATACTCCGTACGTGTTGGCATATTCCGTCATCCTGCTCAACACGGATCTCCACAGCAGCAAGGTGGTGAAGCGCATGACCAAAGACGACTTCATCAAGAACAACCGTGGCATCAATGACAACGCCGATCTTCCGGATGAATATCTCATTGGCATCTACGAGGATATCCAGAGGAATGAAATCGTCCTGAAAAGCGAACGAGAGGCCGCCGCGGCTTCTGGCATGCTCCAAGCCCAAACAACCGGACTTGCTGCTGGGCTCGGGCAGGCCTTCTCGAACGTCGGCCGCGATTTGCAGCGGGAGGCATATGTCCAACAGTCGGAGGAAATCTCGTTACGGTCAGAACAGCTGTTCCGTGACTTGTACCGCAGCCAGCGCAAGAGTGCCGAGAAAGCAGGTGTCAAGTTCATCTCGGCTACCTCGTTCAAGCACGTCGGTCCGATGTTTGACGCCACTTGGATGTCCTTCTTCTCAGCCCTTTCCAGTCTGATCCAAAAGACTCACAACCTTGACGTGAACAAGCTGTGTCTGGAAGGCATGAAGCTGGCCACCAAGATCGCCTGCCTGTTTGAGCTTGCCACCCCAAGAGAAGCCTTCATTTCCGTCTTCAAGAACACGGCCAATCTCAACAACCCCCGCGAAATGCAGGCGAAGAATGTCGAAGCCCTCAAAGTGCTGCTTGAGCTTGCGCAAACAGAAGGCAACCACCTCAAAGAGTCATGGAAGGATGTGCTCATGTGCATCAGCCAGCTCGATCGACTGCAGTTGATATCGGGAGGCGTGGACGAGAGCGCCGTGCCCGACGTTTCAAGGGCCCGTTTCGTGCCACCACCACAGCGGACAGAGACCACTGATCCCCGGAAGTCTACATCCTCGGCGAGGAAAAACCGACCACGAGCCCACACAGGGCCACAAGGCGTCTCGCTTGAGATTGCTCTTGAGAGCAGGTCCGACGACGTGATCAAGAGCGTTGACAGAATCTTTACAAACACCGCCAACCTGTCAAGGGACGCCATCATCCACTTTGCTCGTGCCTTGACAGAAGTAAGTTGGGACGAGATCAGGGTCTCCGGGTCGAACGACTCGCCGCGCACGTACAGTCTCCAGAAGATTGTCGAGATCAGTTACTACAACATGACGCGTGTCAGGTTCGAATGGAGCCACATCTGGGACGTCCTCGGGGAACACTTCAACAAGGTTGGTTGTCATGCCAACACCGCCATCGTGTTCTTTGCGCTTGATTCCCTCCGTCAGCTGTCGATGCGTTTCATGGAAATCGAAGAGCTAGCTGGATTCAAGTTCCAGAAGGACTTCCTCAAGCCTTTTGAACATGTCATGTCGAACTCGAGCAACGTGACGGTCAAGGACATGATCCTTCGCTGTCTCATCCAAATGATCCAGGCCCGGGGCGAGAACATCCGTTCCGGCTGGAGGACCATGTTCGGCGTCTTTACTGTGGCGGCGAGGGAACAATACGAGAGCATCGTCAACCTTGCGTACGAAAACGTCACGCAGGTCTACAAGACCAGGTTCGGTGTCGTCATCTCTCAGGGCGCGTTCACCGATCTCATCGTCTGCCTCACGGAGTTTTCCAAGAACATGAGATTTCAGAAGAAGAGCTTGCAGGCTATGGAGATGTTGAAGTCGATCATCCCGACCATGCTCAAGACGCCCGAGTGCCCGCTATCGCAGAAGTCGGCCGGGGGTGCTGGTCACTCTGAGCCAAACCCCAAGTCGCCCGCCCAACAGACTCGCACGTCGGTTGAGGAAGGATTCTGGTTTCCGGTGCTCTTCGCATTCCACGACGTACTGATGACCGGGGAGGATCTTGAGGTGCGGTCGAACGCCCTCAACTACTTCTTCGAAACCTTGTTGCGATACGGCGGTGACTTCCCTTCGGAATTTTGGGATATTCTCTGGAGACAGCAGCTCTACCCCATCTTCATGGTTCTTCGATCGCGACCTGAGATGACCAATGCACTGAACCACGAGGAGCTGTCTGTATGGCTCTCCACGACCATGATCCAGGCGCTCCGCAACATGATAACCCTCTTTACCCACTATTTCGAGGCTCTCGAGTACATGTTGGACAGATTCCTCGAGCTGCTCGCGCTCTGCATCTGCCAAGAAAACGACACTATTGCTCGGATAGGGAGTAACTGTCTGCAGCAGCTCATCCTCCAGAACGTGACCAAGTTTACCCCTGAACACTGGGCCAAGATTGTCGGTGCCTTTTGCGAACTGTTTGAGCGGACGACGGCGTACCAGCTCTTTTCAGCGACGACCATCAACTCGACTGCGTCACTTTCGCCGCCGCCGAGTGGACTTGAGCTTGGTGTCGCGCTCAGCCCGACCTCGGAGACTGGACCGGTCGATGAGAAGTCGCTCAAGATCAACGGCGCCGAAACGAACGGGCACTCACCCCCACTCGAGTCAACCGAAGTCGACCCAGACAGCATCACAGGCCCTGCGACAGCTAACCCGGCCGCCATGTCCGCGACGCCGCAACCCCAGACGCCGTCCCAGCAACTCGAAGAGTTCAAGCCAACCACTTCACTCCAACAACAGCCCGTCGTGGTCACCGCCGCCCGGCGCCGCTTCTTCAACCGTATCATTTCGCGCTGCGTGCTGCAGCTCCTCATGATCGAGACAGTCAACGAGCTCTTCAGCAACGACGCCGTGTACGCGCAGATCCCATCGCCCGAACTCCTCCGGCTGATGGCGCTGCTCAAAAAATCCTTCCTCTTCGCCAAGCGCTTCAACGCCGACAAGGACCTGCGCATGCGCCTCTGGCGCGAGGGGTTTATGAAGCAGCCGCCCAACCTGCTCAAGCAGGAGTCGGGCAGCGCCGCCACCTACGTCTCCATCCTCTTTCGCATGTTTGGCGACACCGCCCCCGAGCGCCAGGGCTCCAAGGCCGACGTCGAGAGCGCGCTGGTCCCGCTGTGCCAGGACATTATTCGCGGGTATATCGGGCTGGACGAGGAGAGCCAGCACAGGAATATTGTTGCCTGGCGGCCGGTGGTGGTGGATGTCCTTGAGGGCTACGCGGCGTTCCCTCGCGAGGCGTTTGTTGCGCATATCAAGAGCTTCTATCCGTTGGTGGTGGAGCTGCTCGGGAAGGATCTTGGGCAGGAACTCCGGGCGGCGTTGTTGCTGGTGCTGAGGCGGGTTGGGGAGGTCGGGCTGGGGATTGAGGGCATGGTTGGGGGCGCCACGGCGGTGAGTGGGAATGGCGCGGACGGGAGGAGGAATAGCGTCTTGTCGGTTCCGTCGGTTCGCCCATCGCCGAGCATGGATAGCTTGAGTGATGATCCGTCGAGGCAGTTTATGGGTAGGGCATGATGCCTGCGGCGGATGTAGTGTAGTGAGAGGAGAGGTGGGGTTAGTGAGGGTGAAGGGAGCTGCGCTGTGATATATAGACTTGGACTGCTTAGACATCAGACATCATGGCCATCAGCGGGCTATGTATTGTATATTTTTTTCCTTCGGGTGCTGTTCTGTTCCCAGCAGGTCACTTTTGAGCGGTCGGCTCGAGTCATGGAAGCAGTCGTGTAGAATAAGAATACGTCAAAATTGCGCTTTCTCGTCCACCATAATCCCTCCCGCCATACGCCGCTTTAAGTTACTGAGGCCATCATGACAAGAAACATGGAGGTAGAGCCATCAAATAGAAAGAGGGTATGCCTCTCACTGGATATCACTTAACATCACACCGCTATCGAACCCAGGGAATAACGCGTACATCTGTGCACTCCTAACAACGTATGCACTACGTCAGCACCCCCTCCCTCACCGCACCACCACCCGCACCTCCTCCCCCGGCAACACTTCCCCCACCCAGCGCCTCAAATCCTCCGCCTCCTCCTCCGCCGTCCGATCCGGCAGCTCCAGCAGCGCCTTCCGCAGATCCTCGTCCTCGGCAACCGCCTCCCCCACCACCGCCCGCAGCGTCTCCAGCTTCAAGTCCGACGGCTCCGTCACGCGCAGCAGCGCCACCAGTGTCACGAAGAAATCCACCAGCACCATGTGCAGCAGCACGTCCCACCGCGGCACCAGCCGCAGCGCCGCGTACTGCAGCAGGCCCTCGCCGGGCCGCGGGGCGCGCAGCGGTGGTGGGAATCGTGTCGACCCATTCGCCGCCGTCTCCCCCTCCCCGTTCGCGTCCGGACCGCCGTTGGCGTGGCCGTTGGGGGGGGGACGCGGGCGACGGCGGCAGGATGTCGGAACGGCTGACGGTGGGGAAGTCGATGGAGGCTAGGCGTGGTAAGAGACGTAGCACGCGGTCCTGGGCGAGGGAGACTTGGGCCGGGTTGGCGAGCATGTCGGGGTGGTGGCCGGAGATGAGGTCGAGGAGGAGGGTGTACATGGGCCGGTTGCGGAAGAGCAGGTCCCAGAGGGCGCCGTGTCCGGGCTCGCGGCGGATGCTGAGCATGGTGTCGGGGTCGATGGGCCGGGTGGGTGGTGGTGGCGGGGCTTGTGCCGAGTCGATGTCCAGGAGGTCGCCGAGGACTTTGGTGCCACGATGGCCGACTTCGACTTGCGGGGAGACGAGCCAGCAGCGGATGAAGGCGGCGACGAGGTCGGGGTGGGTGCATAGGAAGCTGATGTGTCGCGGTGCGGCGGCGGCTTTGCGGAGGATGGCGATGCCGAGCAGGTTGGCGGCGGGTGCGGGTGACTCCAGGGCAGTGATGAGCTCCTGGGTCTGGGCTAAGGAGAATACATCCTCAAATGGGACAGGTTGCAGGAGCTTGATGGTGAGGTTGACGATGGCTGTGGGGTCCTCGGTGTATTGTTTGAGGACGGTTGTGAGACGGGGAAGAAAGCGAGGAATCAAGGGTAAGATGTTGCTTTCTGTGGCTTGTATTAGCTTGATGGGGGAGAGTATGAAGCCAAAATGAACACAGTCCTACCGGTAAGTTGAAGTTCGATATCGTCAAATAGCTTTGGGTTGAGTGTTAAGCTAGGGTCTTGGATGAGGTCGTCAAGGTGCTTGTCAAACTCATCCAGCCCGGTAATTGGTGTTGTTTCCATGACTGCTTCTGGGGTCTAACGTTGGTCTGGTGGTGTGGTTGTGATTCGAGAGCCAGAAGAGGGAAAAGAGAAAAAAAGGCTGGAATATGGTGCCTCCCGGTGGCTTTAAATCTCAAGACGGAACAAGGCAGCAAAGCAGTCGTCAGATGCTAGAGAGCCTGGAGCAACGGGAGCTAGGAAACATGCAAGCTGCAAGTCGATGCGGGGCAACCATGGTGGGGGTTCCCCACAGCCCTTTCAGGGACCCCGAGTGGGTCGTCTGCTGCAAGGCTGATGCCCCGCTAAATTTTTGGAGGCATCATCTTTCCATCTCCAGGCTCGAGTGACGCTTCTTCGCCTACAACCCACTCGCCCCAAACACATCTCCAATCGACCAGCATAGCCTCCGAGTCCAATAGTCACAGTAATTCGCCGATTCTAAAGGCAATTCATCTAGCAAAACGTTCACAATGTCTGGGAGAGGCGGCCGAGGAGGGCGCGGGCGCGGGCGTGGCGGACCGCCAACAAATGGGAGGAGAGCCGTTGCGCAGAACAGCGTCCCATGGGCGATGGACGGCGATATCGTATTAGACGGAAAGCCCTCAGAACAGTTCCCCGTACGCCAATGCAACCCTTCCTCTTCCTCATCTCCGCTTCCTCACTGACCCATTACTACTTCCAGCCCTACAACGTCCCCAAAGCGCCCCTCCTCACCAAAAAAGAAGAAAAACAAATCTCCTACTTCCTCCTCTTCCGCGAACAATGCCAAGACAGCCCCCTCTACACGCAAGCGCGCAGCCGACTGTCGACCGGCCCCAACAACAGCACCGGACGCACCTATGGCCAGGAGCAGGTCAATAAGCGGTACGGGCAGGTGACCAAGGCGACGGTTGACCCCTTCACGGCCGTGCCCGTGTACTCCAACAAGTTCAAGAAGGTGCCGCGCACCCTGCCCGACCTCGCGTCGCGCCCCTTCGCCCTCGAGTTCTTCCCCGCCGAGCTGCACCCCACCCTCGAAGGTGACGACGAGCCTTCCGCGGCCAAGCGCCGCCGTGTCGGGCCCAAGACGTTGGGGCTATCGAATATTACCTCGTACAAGACCGCCGAGGAGATGTTCCGCCCTGATGCGCCGTTGTTGAATGGGGATGGGAATTTGAATAAGGCGTTGGAGTTGCTGAGTGCGGTGGAGAAGCGGAATGAGGACGGCGAGGAGGCGTTCCTGTCTGGGGAGGACGACGATGACTGGGTGAAGGGCAATGGGGAGGATGGGGAGGATGCGGTGGCGGATGAGGATGATGTGTACGAGGACGAGTCTGGGGACGACTACAATGCGGAGGCGTACTTTGACGGGAATCAGGATGATGAGGACTACGATGAAGGCGGGGATGAAGGAGGTGATTTCTACTAATCTCACGGCAAAGGAGGCGGTAGCTCGAGGCTGTTGTGGCTACTACCGCCCATATTTCAGTTTCGGCGTATGATATATCGGGATAGATGCGTGGGGAAAAACCTTGGACATAGCGCGTGATACTTTCAAGGAGTTAGCCTAGCACAGATAGCGTGCAATCAATACAACCTGCAATGGCTGAATATGCCACATTATCTAATCCCGCGCCCACTCGCTACAGTACTTTACAAGCATCCGGCCGCGTTTCCTCCCTTTCTGTCAAGATCCCTCGCTCAGCTGCCATGGCCCATAAAATCCTTCAGCTGCAACTCTGTAACACCCTCCTTGACGCCGCCCACCACGCCGGCAACCTTCAAGATGCTCTCCTCAAAGTCGCGCAGCACAGCCGCCAGCTCAACAACCCTCTGATCCACGCCGCCGGGTGTGGTGCTCTTGGACTGGGCAGCCACCCTCTGCATCTGCTCTAGCATATTCCCCTGCACGCCATGCAAGTGCACCTCGATCTCGCCGAGGTTCCGCTCAAACTTCTTCATCATATCGTCCATCTCGCCTGCGGTCGCCGAGAAGAAGCTGATCAAATCGGTATTGCTCTGGGCATCAGCGGCACCCCCCTGGCCGCCGGCCCCCGCACCACCGACCTGCTGTCCGCGGTTCGCCCACAGGCCGGCCTGGTGGTACTGGGTGGGCAGCTTGAGGTTGTCGATGGCCTTGAAGGACAGGCGGGCGTGGCCGGCGTCGGTCTTGACCAGCTCGCGCAGCTGGTCGATGGCGCGGATGTCGCTGGAGAGGGCGTTGTGGGCGCCCTCGGACTTGCGCGTCACGAAGCCGACGTCGGTCGGGATCGCGGCCAGCTGCTCGCCGTGCGACGGCAGGAACGCGTCCACCGCGTCCTTGTCCTTGATGCACCGCTGGATCGCCTCGTCGATCTGCGCGATCTCTTTTTGCAGCGTCTCCTGCAGGTCGTTGAAGCGCGTCGTTGATTTGATGTTGCTCAGGTCGATGCGCACGCCGGGTACGGTTTGTTGTTGGGCGGTCGATTGGCCCAGGCTGAGACCGCCTGCTTGGGATTGCTGCGGTTGGGATTGCGTTTGGCCGCTGGAGAAACAGTTAGCTTTGCGCTCTGCCGTGTCATCTATGGGGCGCCTACAATAACCCGCCGCCCGTGGTCGTCGCTGCTGGCTTGTTCCCAAACATGCCGCCTGTGTTCGCCGTCGAACTTCCGAATAGTCCACCGGCTGCCTGGGGCTGTTGCTGCTGTTGCTGCGTGGCTGCGCCGCCGAACAATCCGCCCGCCTGCTGCTGTGGTTGCTGTGTTTGGGTCGTGCCGCCAAAGAGTCCCCCTGCCTGAGCTGGCTGTGAAGTCGTTGCCCCCCCCAAAGAGCCCCCCCGTCGACTGCTGAGGTTGTTGTGTTGTTGTTGACCCAAACAAACCTCCTGCTTGCTGTGGTTGGGTGGTGGCCGCGGTTTGCCCGAATAATCCGCCGGCTTGAGGTTGTGAAGCGGGAGTCTGGGTGGCTGTCGAACCGAAGAGGGATCCAGCCGGCTGCGAAGGGGCTGCTTGGGCGGGCTGGGAAGTCGCCGTGCCGAAGAGTCCACCTCCCGCTGGGGGCTGTTGGGCGGTGTTACTTCCACTGTGCGAGGGCGTCAGTTAGCCTTGCTTTGTCTGCTTTGTCTGCGTGTCTCAGTCGGGAATTCCTGATTTTTCGTGTAAACTCACAAGAGATTGGCCGAGCCCGTGTTGATGCTGAGCCCGCCGGGGCCGCTAGCCGACCGTGCGAGAGACATGTTCACGGCGCGGTGATGCAAGGGATGAGGGGATGGTATGAAGAGCAAACAGCTGGAATACAGCTGTGGAGTGTTTGGCGTCGTCGCTTTCACTTTCTTGGGCCTTGGTTGCCGTGTTTTGTATGGCTGCTGCCGCCCCACCGCGTCGCCTGCAGCAAGCTTCGCGATTGAAAGTGCAGGGGTAGCATTTGACCGCCTGCCGGAAATGCTCTGGTGGGTGGGCCCCAGGAAAGCCAAGACAATTCCGCGGCTGCCCAGCTGCAGCTTCAACTCAATCTCCAAGTTCAACGAGCGCAGCCTCCACATCGACAATTCCTAGAACACAGCATATCTTTTAAAAAAATATAATCGTCAAAGACACTGACAACAAGATGGATATCGACGACGAAGACGATTTCTACGCCCCGGAGGAGCCCCAAGCGGCTGCGCAGCCAGCTGCAACGGAAGCACCAGCAACAAAGAAAGATGCGAGCGAAGAACTCGAATCGGGCGAGGAAGAGGATGAGGGTGGCGCGATGGATGAAGACGAGGATTCAGTGAGCGCCTATAATGTGGCAAGGATCTGGCGTATTCACTGACCACCAATTCAGGATATCGACATCATCACAGAGCGGAAAGACTCGAACCCAGCCCCTGCACCGTGAGCTTGGGTCCTCCAACCACCGCAAATGGACATGCAGCTAATCATCCTCCAGGCAATCCCGATACAGCGAGATCAAAAATATCCCCCAACGAACCGCGGCCTCAGATACAATCACACCAGCAGTACCATCAACCTCAAGCGCCGCGAAATCCTCTGCCGCCTCCCCCCAGCAACCCAGCGGCCCCGGCGCAGCAGCAGCATCATCCAACATCCCAGCCTCCACATCCAAAATTGACGTCCACGCGATCCCGGTGCACAAGCCCACAGGCAAGCCGCTTACGCAAGTCGACATTGACAAGGACCTGCCAGCGGAGCAGGACAAGCCGTGGCGAAAGCCCGGCACCGACCTGTCGGACTACTTCAACTACGGCTTCGACGAGTTCACGTGGGCGCTGTACGCGCAGAAGCAGGAGGCCCTGCGCAGCGAGTACAACGCCGACGCCATCGCCCTGAATAACAAGAAAATGATGGAGGAGATGACCAACATGATGATGATGGGCGGGATGGGCATGCAGGGGGCTGGCGGTGCGGGTGGGCCTGCTGGTGGACAGGGTGGTGTTGTGCCTGGTGCGGGGGGCGCTGCGGGCATTCCTGGGATGGAGGGCATGACGCCGGAGATGCAGCAGGCGCTGATGCAGCAGATGATGGCCGGCGGGATGGATCCCAGCCAGGTGGATATGGGGGCTCTGGCCATGTATGGGGGAGGTGGTGGTGCCGGCGGGCCGGGACAGGGTGGGCAGGGTCAAGGCTTTGGGGGTGACTTTGGGGGGCAGGGCCAAGGGTACGGGTATGGGCAGCAGATGGGCGGTGGCGGCGGGGGTGGTGGGAGGGGAGGCAGAGGAAGGGGTAGAAGGTGGTAAGCAACAGGTAGCATTTTTTAGGTGTGTTGATACCAAAAGAGGGACCTGCCCACGGGCAACAAGACATCGGTCGGATGGTTCACCTGTGTTTCGTTCAATATCTGTCCCATTGCCTCTCCTATGCCCATCCGAATAAGCCAACAACTAACGGTTCTACATAGATTGCTCTATGGTTAACAAAAGAAAAGTAAATGCGACGATAAAAACTGGGGTATGTACATTTAGTCTCCAACAAGCCGGACAACCGTTTTCACAACGCCCCGCAAACCAAAACAACTCAACAACATTTACGATGCACTCACAGCGCTACCCACCACAGTCCCCTCCACACCGCCTCCTCCCTCAACAACCTTCACAACCCCCACAACCTCTCCATCCACACCCTTACCCCCTTCCTCCCCACCCCACTCACTCCCCCCACCATCCCCCGTAATACTCAACCTCGCCAACGCCTCCAAAGCAAAGGTATTCCGCGCCTTCTCCGCCGCCGAAAGCGGCGTATCCCCAAAACAGTCCTGCGCATCCAGCCTCGCCCCCTTCTCAATGAGCGCCCTAATCGTCCGCATCCTCGCCCTCCCCCTCGCCTCATCATCATCCTCGTCTCCCGGCCTCACGCCCCCAGCGCCCCCGGGCCCCACCGGCGGCCCGCCCCCCGCCCCGGCCTTCTTCGCCGACCGCATGCAGCACATGTGCAGCGGCGTCAGACACCCGCCCGCGGCGACGGCCACGAACCCGCGCATGGCGTCCGCGCCGAGGGAGAGGAGTCGGTCGGCGGCGTCGAAGTCCCCCAGGCGGCAGGCTTCGCCGAGCGGGGTAATGGTGGTGTAGGGGATGTACATCTTGACTTCGCAGTGGATGTCGGCGCCGAGGGCGAGGAGGGTCGGGATGGTGGTGGCCCAGCGGCGGTGGGCGTAGGCGTGGTAGAAGGGCGTCAGGGTGTAGGTGTCTTGGGTGCTTGATGTCGGGGACGGTGGCGGTGGTGAGGAGGTGCGTGGAAAGGCCGGAGAGGCCCATGGCGGCGGCGTGGTGCAGGGCGGTGGCGCCCAACCCAAGGTCGGTGATAGTGGTGGCGGCGGCGCAAGACTTCAATTACGCTAGAAACTACAGCTCACATCAGTGAATGGAGGGTAACTCCCACGCCACCCACC